CTGAAATGATGAATCCTTTCCTGAAGGTTTCCAGATCCATCAGAAAAATCATTATTTATGGTAGCTAGCCTTATGACATGTATTTCTTAAATAATAAGACTTGAAAATTGAAATTACTCCTTGATTCATGGTCTGCAGAATGGATGCTGTAATAGCAGGCATAAAAACATTAACTTCTTTGTACATTTCCATCAGAGCTCTTGGGTGACCAGGTGCATTGTCAATGAGCATAATATTTTGAAAGGAATTTTTTTTTTCTGAGCAGTAGGCCTCAACAGTAGGCTTAAAATATCTGAAACCATGCTGTAAACAGATGTGCTGCAATTCAGGCTTTGTTGTTCCATTTATAGTGCACAGACAGAGAAGATTTAGCATAATTCTAAGGACCCTGGGATTTTCATCATGGTCAATGAGCACTGGCTTCACCTTAAAGTCACTAGCTATGTTAGCCCCTAACAAGTCAGCTTTGAAACTGACTTTAAGCTTTGAAGCCAGGCATTGACTTCTGTTCTCTAGATGGCATTGTCTTTCCATAGAAGGCTGTTTCATCTACACCCAAAATCTGTTTAGTGTAGCCATTTTTATTAATTATCTTAGCTAGATCTACTGGATGACTTGCACAGCTTCTCCACCAGCACTTGCTGCTTCACCTTGCACTTTTATCGTTATGGAGATGGTGTCTTTCCTTAAACCTCAAGAGCTAGCTTCCAACTTTCCTTTCGTAGCTTCTCACCTCTCTCAGCCTTCACAGAAATAAAGAGAGTTAAGGCTTTGCTCTGGATTAGGGTTTGGCCAAGGCAATGTTGTGGCTGGTCTGATCTTCTATCCAAATTACTGAAACTTTTTCCATATCAGCAATAAGGCTGTTTCACTTTCTTATCATTTGTGTGTTTACTGGAATGGCACTTTTAATTTCCTTCAGGAATTATTCCTTTGCATTTACAACTTGGCTGTTTGGTACAAGGGGCCTAGCTGTTGGCCTTTCTAGGCTTTCAATATGCCTTCCGCACTAAGCTTAATCATTTCTAGTTTTTGATTTTTTTTTGGTTTTTTTGAGTCAGAGTCACTCTGTCACCCAGACTGGAGTGCAGTGGCCGTTCCCTGGCCACTGCAGCCTCACCTGCTGGGCTCCGGCGACCCTTCTGCCTCAGTCTTCCGAGTAGCCGGAATTACAGGCACGTACTATAATGCCCGGCTGATTTTTTGATTTATTATAGAGATAAGGTCTCGCCAAGTTGCCCAGACAGGTCTCGAACCTGTGGGCTCAGGCAATCCACTCACCTCAGCCTCCCAAAGCGCGGGATAGTTTTTGATGTAAAGTGAGATATGCTAATGGCCACCGCAGCCTTGACCTGCTGGGCTCAAGTGATCCTTTCACCTCAGCCTTCCAAGTAGCTGGAGCTACAGGCCCGTGCTACCATACCCGGCTAATTTTTTAATTTATTGTAGAGATGAGGTCTCGCCAAGTTGCCCAGGCTGGTTTTGAACCCATGGGCTCAGGCAATCCTCTTGCCTTGGCCTCCCAAAGTGCTGGGATTATAGGTGTGAGCCACTGTGCCCGGCCCATTGGCCTGATTTCAATATTGTTGTATCTCAGGGAACAGGGAAGCCCTAGGAGAGGGAAAGAGAAGGGGTAATGGCTAGTTTGTGGAGCAGTGAGAACCCACACAACATTTATTGCTTAAGTTTGCTGTCTTTAATTCGTGTGGTTGATGGCACCCCCAAACAATTACAACAGTAACATCAAAGATCACTGATCATAGATCACTATAACAGATATAATAATAATGAAGAAGTTTGAAATATTATGAAAATTAACAAAATGTGACACAGAGACATGGTGTGAGCACATGCTGTTGGATAAATGGTGCCAACAGACTTGCTGGATGCAGGGTTACCACAACTTTCAATTTGTAAAAAATGCAGTATCTGTAAAGTACAATAAAACAAGGTATGCCTATACTTTATTAGACTGTCTTCAAGTGTTTTAGAAAACATGAACTGTGTGGGTGGGTAATTGTGGAGTCAGAAATAATGAGTCCAGGTTGAGTGAAGACTGGAGGAGGTGAGAGAAAGAGGCAAATTCATACTTAGCTAGATTTAGTTTCAAGACTCATATGGAAGGAAATACCAGGAAAGGTCTGGCTTCAGCTCATAAGAGAAGACGTGTAAGGAAAAAATTATTTGAAGAGAAGTTTTGTCTTTTTTATTCTCCCTTTAAATTATGAAACATTTCAAACATCAGTATCTTTTTCATCTAGAAGTTTGGTCCTTTTTTTCTTTTTCTTTCTTTCTTTCTTTTTTTTTTTTAACATCTCCCATGTCTCTAGTTAACTTAGAAGCATCTGAAATTAAGTATAATAACTTACAATGTCTCTATCTGTAAATTCTAATATCTCTGTCAGTTCTGCGTTGGCTTCAATTGGATGATTTCCTTCCTCATAATGGTTGTATTTTCCTGCCCATTTGCATGCCTGGATGTCTCTGGTTGGATGTGAATCAAAAAACATTGTGAATTTTACCTTTGTTTGGGTGTGGACATTTTTGTATTCGTATAAATATTAATAAGCTTTGCTTCCGCAAATAATTAAGTTAAGCAGTTCAATCCTTTTGGGCCTTGCTTATAAGATTTACTAGGCACCAGAGCAGCATTTATTTTAGGGTCAATTTTCCCCCCTACTGAGGCAAAACTCTCTGAGTACTCTACACAAAATGCCCTGTGAATTATGACATTCTGTATGCTAGAACAGAAACTACTCTGGTTCTTTGTGAATGCTGGGTACTGTTCCCTCTAGTACTCTTAGTTGGTTCTTCCACCCTTAGGTAGTTTTGAGCCCTTTTCTTCCCAGTTGATGACTAGAAGACATTTCTGAAAATACTTTAAGGAAATTATCTGGAAGATAAAGACTTGCTCTTAAGCTAAATTCCTCTCACCTTTGAATTGCCATAATAAGCCCAGGCACAAATAAGATCATGTGCCACATTATTATGTTTGTAAAACACAACGTGAATTTCAGTCATATCAATGATATAATACTTGACAATAAAGAAAAATAGCTAGGAAAAAAAAATCAAATTAACCTTTCCTCAAGAAGTCAATAGTAAATTGATAACTATAACTTTTAGACAAAATTTCAAGTCTGAATTTTCTGGGGGCAGAAAGGAGATATTTTATCTCTCATTTCTACTTGATTGCTTAATTCATCAGATAGAAACATCAGTCTTCTCCTTATATTTATGAACATTAAAGAAATTAGTACAGATACTAAAAATAGGAGGCATATACTTAGAAATGTATCTCAGCATGCATATGCTAGAAAAGAAAGCATTTGATGAATTTTAGAACCAGATTCACATACTTCCGTCACTAGTAGAAGGCATTTAACAGAAGTAAAAATCAACTTAAACAAGGACCCAGATTGAGACAAAATACTTCAACTTTTCAGGCAAAAACTGTTTTATTCATTAGTACACAAACCTATATTAAAGGAACAAATTATAATTCCTTTAATTGTGTATACTTTGTTATGACTAATTATTAGCAGGAAGATAAGATTGCTTATTTAAGTTATACACATTTATTGCAGTGCTACCTTCTTCATGTCTTTCTCTTACATTCTAAACTCTTTAGCATTTTTCTTTTCTTTATATTTTATTTTAAAGATGTGGGGTACAAGTCAGGATGAAGTACATAAGTGGTCTGTGTACAGATGAAATCTGGGCCCCCATGAGTCTTCACTTAGTCTGGTAAGTGCTTTTCTTAGCTTTATGCGTATTTGGCAAATGGAATGGAATTTTTCAAAGGCCTATGTGTTTATTATTATTTTTTGGTAATTTCTTAGTTAGAGTCTTAGTTTTTTTCTATCAGATGACCATTAAGCACTATTTTACTTATAGTACTATAAGTAAAATAATATATAGTGTTATATAAAATATTTAAAGATTCAATTTGATCCAAAATACAAGATTTAATCAACTAAATGTTCTGTGTAACCCACCTCTAAAATTATACATTTATCAGCAAAAATGACCACAGTAGAATTAGACAAGTAGACATCTGATTCTAAACATGTCTTTGTTAAGAGAAAAAGAAGCTATGTCTAATCTTAAAAACACACTAGTAAGGAGTACTTGATTACTTCTGGGAACTCAGAAAATGTCTTTTAGGAAGAAAAAGGAATGAACACTTGTATCATTCCTCAGTCACTGATTTTGATGAGTAGTCTTCTGTCAGCATTATGGTGGGTGCCAGGGGGCAAAGGCAGCACGACACAAAGAGAACATCTGACTTTGGAGAGATACCTACCCAAATGCTTCATGAACTATTATGGGAAGAAAAACCCCATCTCTAAAACAACTGCAACAAATAACCAAACAAAATAATTCCCCTGATTAAAATTATCCAGCCACTGGTCCCAACATCCTCAGAATCTGCTTTTTGTTAATATTTCATACATCATTGTTCATTACTACCTACACCCCAGGTATTATCTAGGCTTACTATGAAGTTCTCAGAATATGACAAGTTCATCATGACTCCATGTTTTTGCCGTGGCTACTCCTTCTCTCAGGAATTACTTCAGTCTTCATGGATCTACGTATCATCCTAAATCTGCCTTCTAGTTTGTTTCACAGTCATAGTGGACACATTAACTAACTATATTTGGGGTAGATGAGAAGCTGTGACAATAGGAATATAAAGTAATCTTTATATCTTTTGGATATAATTACATTTGGAATGGCAGTGAAAAAAAAATCACCATTAGGGAAATCTCTCATTGTTGGTTCAGCTGGAGGCTGGAAAAGTAGAGGATCATTCTTAATCGTGAAACTAAGCTAGGATGCTAATTTTACCTTCTGTGAAACACATGATTTAAGTTGTCCTTATGGAGAAAAATAACTCAAAACATTAAAACTGGCACAAAACAAGTTCAGTGACAATTATTATTAAACATTTTGTATATTCAAAACTTGTCTTAGTTATAACAATCACACTTTACCTCTTGAAATGATTCACCAGCACTCCAACAAGTTCTCCAATTCGACTCTCATGGGTTGGCTGTTTACTGAAGAGGCAGACAATGAGGTCTTTGTTGTCTTTTGTATGGAAAACTACAAGTTGGTCCTTTCCATTGGAGACACTTAGACCAGTCAACTGCAAAGAGACAATGCATGGGAAACTATTAAGATAGTCCTTAAAATAATGAATTTAAGACTACATTTTAGAGCTGGCCATCCTACTGCATGCCTGTAATCCAGCTAGGATCAGTAGGATCACATGAGCCCAGGAGTTCGAATTAAGCCTGGGCATCATAGCAATACACCATCTCTCTCTCTCTCTCTCTTTTAGATTGAAAAATATAGTTATTTACAAAGTAAATTAGAGAGAGAGAGAGAGAAGATTCACCTCTCCAAGGTAGGCAAGGGGGACAAAACTAGGAACATGGTGGCCATAGTTCAAGGAGCCATGTGGCCAGACCATAGCTTAGCAAAGCAATGGTGAATGGCTAGAGAGAGCAAGAGAGGAGGTTCACCTCCCCAAGGTAAGGGAGGGGACCAAAGCTAAGAAAACATAGCTGAAAGAACACATGGCCTGGCCAGTGCTTAACAAAACAATGGTGGCTGCTGTTTAAAGTTGAATGCCTTTTAAAGCTTCCCTTTGATGGAAGCAGGTCATTAAGGTGATTGGGTGGTGGTCTGTTCCACATCATCACGAAAGGGACAGGTAAGCACAGATACTGACATCAGGTGATGGACAGCAAGCAGATGGATGGGTTAGTCACATGATTGCTGCCATGTTGATGGAGTCTGTGTCATGAAGGTCTTGAAAGGCTGATTAGGTAAACTTATTTACAAAGCAAGCTGGGGAGGGGCTGTAAAGGAATTATCAATAACTACCTCTGAGAAACTGGTTCTGTCCTTGGCCAGTGATTAGAGGGCAAATTAAAGTGAACTGCCAGAGAAACATGACAGAGGTAGGCAATGTTAAAATGGCTGCTCATTGGGTACACTGACTCCAGATACTGTCTTTTTTTTTAAAACAAATTTTTTTTTGGTAATGATTTTTCTCAGTAACCCTGATGACTTTAATCTTCAAGTTTCATGGAACAAGCAGATGGAACAAAATAATAATGAGCAGAAATGAAAGAAATTGGAAACAGAAAAGCAGAAAAAAAAAATCAATGAAACAAAGAGTTTTTTTTCAAAGAATCAGTAAAATTGATAAACCTCTAGTGCAAAAGAAAAATAGGAGAGAAAACTTTATTACTAATATCAGGAATGAAAGAGGGGCTATCACTACAGACCACACAGACATTACAATGACAATAAGGGAATAATTGGAACAACTCCATGTATAAAAACTTATACAACAACTTAGATAAAACCAAATAATTCCTTAAGAGCCAAAACTACCAAAAGTCATCCAAGAAGACCTAGATAGCCTAAATAGTTCTATATCTGTTGAATATATTATATTCGTAGTTAAAAAACCTTTTGGAAAAGAAAACCCGGGCCATTCCCTTGCTAGACTCTGGTGTAGCCATGTGCTCTTTGAGTTAAGGCTGTCGCCATGCTTCCTGGCTTTGGCCCCCTCCCCCACCTTGGGGAGGTGAATCTTCTCTCTTCTTTCTCTTTCTCCCTTTAATTTACTTTTAAATAAACTTTTCTTTCTTTAAAAAAAAAAAAAAGAAAAGAAAAGAAAAAGAAAACCCAGGCCCAAATGTTTTAACCAAACATTTAAAGAGGTAACACCAATTTGCCTTCTCTCCTCCAGAAAATAGAAGAGAAGGGAACACTTCCTTACTCATTTTATCAGGCTAGCATTATCCTGATACCAAAAATAGACACTTCAGTACAAGAAAAGTATATACTGATATCCTTCATTAACATAAATGTAAAAATGGTCAACAAAATGTTAGCAGATTGAATCCAATGATATATAAAAACAGTAATACAACATGACCAAGTGGAATTTATCTAAGAACTACAAGGCTAGTTCAGTATTCAAAAATAAATCAAGGTAATGACAGAATAAAAGGGTAAAGTAAAAAAGAAAACCCAGTGATATCAGTTGATGCAGAAAAAGCACTTGACAAAGTTCAACATCCATTCATGATAAAAATTTCTCAGCAAGTCAGATTTAGAAGAGAACACAATCTGATAAATGACATCTACAAAAATGCCACAGCTAACATCATACTTCCTGGAGAAAGACTGAATGTTTCTTCTAAGATAGGGAACACTACAAAGATCTTAACTGTCACCACTGCTATGTAACATTATATTGGAAGCCCTACCAGTGATGTAAGGCAGGATAAAGAAATAAAAAAACATTCAGATTGAAAAGAAAAAAAAAAAGTCTCTATTTCCAGATTATATGAGCCTCTACATAGAAAATACCAAAGAATCTACAAAATAGCTCCTGGAACTAATAAGTGGGTTTAGTCAGGTCACAGGATACAAGGCCAACACACAAATATATTTCTACATACTAGCAATGAACAACTAGAAATAGAAATTTAAAAACAAAACCATCTACAACCCCTCAAACACAAACGTGTAGAACTTATATGTTAAAAACAATAAAATGTTTTAGAAGTAAAATGAAAATGCTGATGAAAGGAATAAAAGAAAACCTAAATAAATGAAGAGAAATAAAGTGTTCATGGATTATAAAACTCAATGTTGTTAAGATACCAATTTTCCCCAAATTCACCTAATTTAATGGAATCCCAACCAAAACCCCAGCAGGGTTTTTTAAAAAATAGATATCAACAAGTTGATTCTAAATTATATATTGAAGGCAAAAGAACTAGAATAGCCACAATTTTGAAATGAAGAATAAGATTGAGAGGACTCACAGTAGCTGACTTTAATACTTACAGCTTGCTAAAGCTACATTAAGGCAATAAACTTGGAAAGGAATAAAAACATAAACCAGAAACAGACACACATCAATATGGTCAATGAATTTTTCCCAAAGTGCAAAGGCAATTCAATAATAAAGAAAGGACAGTTTGGATATATGGATAACTTGGAACACTTGGATATTCCCATGTCAATAGAAATAAATTTCTACCTAAATCTCACATTAATAAAAAAGTCATTAAAAATGGACCATAGATCTAATTTCAAAATGTAAAACTAGAAAACTTTTAGAAGAAAATCTTTGTGACCTTGGGTTTGGTAAAGATTTTTTAGATATGACACCAAAAATGCAATCCATAAAGAAAAAAACTGATAAACTGAACTTCATTAAATTTAAAACTTTTGCTCTGAGAAAGACACTGGTGGGGGAGTAAAAGACTAGCCACAGACTGGGAGAAAATATTTGCAACGATATATCTGATAAAGGAGTGTATTCAGAATATATTAAAAACTCTTGGCCAGGTTCGGTGGCTCAGCCTGTAATCCTGCGCTTTGGGAGGCCAAGGTGAGTGGACTGCCTGAGCCTGTGGGTTTGAGACCCGCTGGGGAACTTGGTGAGACCTCATCTCTACAATAAATCAAAAAATTAGCTGGGCGTGGTAGCGCGCGCCTGTAATTCCAGCTGCTTGGAAGGCTGAGGTGGAAGGATTGCAGGAGCCCAGCAGGTAGAGGCGGCTGTGGCTGGGAGCGTGACACTGCACTCCAGTCCGGGTGATGAAGTGAGACCTCCAACTCAAAAAAAATAAAACATAAAAACTTTTAAAACATAAGAAAGCAAACAACTTAGTTAAAAAATATTTGAAATTACTTCACCAAAGAAGGCATATAGGTGGCAAATAAGCACATGAAAAGACATTCAACATTAGCAGCCCAACCTATCAGAGTGGCTAAAATAAAAACCACACAAAACAGAGGACAAGAAGTGACAATACCAAATGCTGGTGAAGACACAGAACAATAGGAATTCACATACATTGGTGGTAAAAATGAAAAATGGTATAGCCACTGTGAAAACAGTTTGGTGGTTAACTCAAAAGTTAAACAGAATTACCCTATGAAACAGCAATCTTACTCCTAGGCGTTTATTCTAGAGAAATAAAAACAAGTTCACACAAAAACTTATAATGAATGTTTATAACAATTCTAATAATCATCATTGAAAGCTGGAAACAACCTGAATACCCATGAACAGACAAATGAATAAACAAACTGTATTGCATCTATATAATGGAATGCTTGCTATTCGGCAATAACAAGGAACGAATTAATGATGCCAATTATTGATATGCAACAGTGATAAATCTCAAAGGCATTATGTTGCGTGAAAGCAGCCAGTCTCAAAAGGTTACATATTGTATGTGAAAGGACATAACATGGAGTCAATGCGCCCAATGAGCAGTCATTTTCAACATTGACTAGATCTATCATGTTTTTCTAGCAGTTCACTTTAATTTACACTCTAATCACTAGCCAAGGACAGAACTGGTTTCTCAGAGGTAGCTATTGATAATTGTTTTACAATCCCCTCCCCAGCTTGTTTAGTACTAATTAATTAGCTTTTTTTCTATTTCAAGTATTTGCCTCCATCCATCACACCCAAGTTAACCTAATCAGCCCTTTATGATCTTCATGGCACAGACCCCATCACCATGGCAGTAATCATGTGACTAACCCACCCACCTGCCTGCTGTTCATCACCTGATGTCAGTACCTGTGCTTACCCACCCTCCATGATATCATGGAGCAGACCTCTGCCCAATTACCTTAACGACCTGCTCTCATCAGAGGAAAGGGTTAAAAGGCATTCAGTTTCAAACAACAGTGGCCATTGCTTTGTTAAACCCTGGTGTACACGTGGCTCTTTGAGCTATGGCTGCCATGTTTCCTAGCCTTTGTCCCTCCCCTACCTTGGGGAGGTGAATTTCCTCTCTCTTCTCTCTAATTTACTTTCGAAATAAACTATATTTTCCCATCTAACTTCTGTGCAATTATTTGTCTCTTTTGTGCAGCACTGAATTGCAGACTAGACACCCTCCCAACGGGTCTGATCTAACATTTGGAGACCCCACTGGGATATATATATATATATATATATATATATATATATATATTTTTTTTTTTTTTTTTTTTGAGTTGGAGTCTCACTCTGTCGCCCAGACTGGAGTGCAGTGGCCGCTCCTGGCCACCGCAGCCTCGACCTGCTGGGCTCCGGCGATCCTTCCGCCT